GTGGGCGGTGAGCCTGGGACCAGAGCTTGGAACCAGAGCCTGCTACCACGCGGATGAAACCTGAAGTCCTGCAGCTGAAGCCTGTCCCCCCGCCCTTGGGAAAGTGGGCAATGCACCAGCTGCCTGCACTTCCAACATTTGTGTCTCCGGAGGGGGGGCAGGGTCCAACCCCCGCTGGTGGCCCTGTGAGAGGGGCCATTGCTTTCCTCCTTCCCCATCACAGCCCAGAAGGCTGTGGCCGCAAGAAAAGCCCCTGGTGGCTCCACATAGCCACATTTGAGAAACGTTGGGTTAAAGGCACCTGCGCCATCCTGCGCGCCAGCACTAACCCTGTGCTCTTCCTGAGGGAGGCAGAAGAATGCCCATGAGACCTGGAATGGTCTTATGCAATCTTTTCCTCGGTGTACTAAATGGGGAACAGCTCCTCAGTCTCTTTGGAGAGGCGCCTGCTCCAGAGCCTGCAGCACCAGCACTCTCAGAACCAGAGGGTGTCCTCCAATCTGACTAGAGCCTTGGTGCTGAAGCATGGCCTGTTCAAGTAGGTGCTGCTTTAGGCAAAGATCCCTAGACATCTGAGGCTAGGTCTACACTACAGGGGGGGGCGTCGACCTAAGTTACGCAACTTCAGCTACGTGAATTGTGTAGCTGAAGTTGCGTATTTTAGGTTGACTTACCTGGGTGTGAGGACGGTGGCGAGTCGACCGCTGCCGCGCCGCCGTCGACTCCGCTTCCGCCTCTTGCCGCGGTGGATTTCCGGAGTCGACGGCAGAGCCATCGGGGATCGATTTTATCGCGTCTTCACTAGACACGATAAGTCGATCCCCAATAGATCAATTGCTACCCGCCGAATCGGCGGGTAGTGAAGACGTGCCCTGAGTCCATTTTGTGAACGATCTACAGATTGAATACTGTTCCTTGATGTGGGCTTCACCCAAGCACAACGTGTGGAGACTGTTGTTGGGAATCGCTCCCCCACATGACTGACAATGTTTAAACCCTGGTGAGGGCATCTCAGGGTTGTACTTAACTAAATACAAATAACGTGAATTGAACAAACACTAAGGATACTCCTAACAACTAGAAAAAAAATACTCTAATATAGTGAGAGATCGTGTAGTCTTAACTTCACAGAGCTCCAACTCCAGCCATAGGCGGTAAGAAGGAACTGAAGGGGTCAGGGCAACGCTGCCTCAAATTAGCCAGGGGAGGAGCTATGACCACAAGGTGCAAGCGCTGCCCCTCTATGGGTACTGCTAAGCAAAATGGCTCCAATGCATTGGGCACACGCACACACCTAAGTGGAATACACGATTGCATCTCCTTGAAGAAGAACAGCACTGTAATTCCCTCTGAACCTTTCTATGAAATGAGCTTCTAGAATCTGATCCCTTTAGGAAACATAAAATCAAACATCTGGATAGATTTCTCAGATAAATGTTGTGACTGATATAAAAAGATATTACTCTGAAACTTAATAGGCCATTTATAAAGATGACAACCTAAAACCATTTTACAAACCCAAGGCATCCTAGTTACACAGTAAAAATATTTGAAGAGCTTACGATGGACATGGATCTGTTCTATTACTATTGTATGTTGACCTAGTTATTGGCAACGTTTACTGTATGACTATGTTGGGTTAGTAATGGGGGAGGGGGAGATGTCAGGAAAAACAAACAGAAAGGAAAACTGACTCAAAATAAGTCACTATTTGGTAGGCACTTTGTGGTTGTTAAGAGACAATGCTAGACAGAAAGACTTGGGAACACAAGAAGATCAAAAGGTCAATATCAGTTTATAAAGAGACTGGGGAGCTGTTTGGGGAAACCACACCAACATAGGCACCTGCTGGGGTGTCTGAAGGTTGGCCTGCTTAGGTTATAAACACAGGATGGTAAGATGTTATCTCAGGTAAGACAGATACATGGGTAGATTATAATTTGTTTTAAAATCCTTTTTCTTTTATGCTTTGTTCCTACTGTGAGACAGAAACAATACTTTGTTTTTAACAAGCTGTCTGGTCACAATATTCACCACTGATCACAGACTTTCAAAGGGAAGAACTGTTAAACCCCTGCTGGGTAAGCATAGCTTATACACAGGGCATGACAGGGTACAGTAGCCCAGGGCCCAGTCTAAGAATGGGAAAATTGTGGGATTACAGTCCAGGAGAGGTAAAGGCATGATGTCTGAACCTGAAGGGGAACTCTCGGAGACCAGAGAGGGTACTGGGACAGATCTTGAGTGGACTGTGCTTTTCTGTAGAGAAGGTAAAGAACTGGAAGGGAGGATGTTTTGTCTGAGACTTGTGTAATTGGGCTGGATTTTCAGAACTCTTTCCTGTTTCCTTCCAATAGATGGTCCAGTAACACTATTTATAGATTCACTGGCAAAGGAAACAGACACACATATGGAACTGGAACAAGATCTGGGCCCCAATCCTTGGCTGGCTGTATGTGCCACAGCTAAACTTGGAGAATGCAAAGCCATAGTTGTGCTCCTCTTATCTTGAGCTGGTTCTCTGGTGTGAGTCAGAGCAGCTTCTTAGCTTCTCTAACTCACACCAGCTGCCAATGGACCTGAAAGGCTGTTTGAGCAGCCAGAGGTCACAGGAAAGTCCCAGCCACATACCCTTTAGTCTAAACCTGCTTTTGTGCTGCTGGAGGATACTACTATGCTATGAAGCAGCCACACCACAGGGGAGAATCTGGACCATTACGTGTAGTTTGAATAGTCCAAGACAGAATCTCCCTTTTTAAAAAAGCCTCGAGACACTAATCTCACTACCAGAGTAACACTTGTTCTGAAGGATGCAGGCCTTGTCTATCAGCTGTAGATGAATGCTGTCCATTTTCTGGATGAGAGTTAATGTTACACACTTCATGGACTGGCAAATAATCATGAGAGAAAGCTCAAGAGCATCACTGGAAGATGAATTTCAGAGCCTAGGATTACAGACATCAGTTGCCTTATCCATTGCTTGCTTGTGGAAAAACTGAGCTGCCCAAGGAACACTGACAAAATGGCTCCTCAATCCAGACCAAGGAATAAACTCAAAGATGAAAGCCTCCCATTTCTTTCTTATTTTGCTTCCCTATATTGGAGAAAAATAAAGTAGAGGAAAAGTTGAAGAGGATTGCTGTCATGGGACAAGAGAACTAGACAGCATTCTACCTGAATACAAGTCTTCAGGTCCTGCAGAGGGTATAGAAATGTGCTGTACTAAACACAGAATAAGGTTGCAGCTTCCTTTCTTTTTTTCTCATATATAAAGAGGAAACCAGAACAGCTTCAGGACTATAATAATTAATGAGAATAATGAAATAGTTTTATATCATTCATGTGAACCAAAAACAACAGGAGCAGCAAAGAAAAGTTTCCCACCAATTACATTGATAGTTAGTCACAGAACATGGTTTCTAAACTCTCTTTACACCATTAGAACTTGCCAGCATCTTCACAGGAAGGTTGGATAAATATTTTGTGGCTTAGGAAACGCATTGCGTGGTGAAAGAACCAAATCCTTTTTAGAATTATTTAGTTGCTCCTATTCCTGCACTTGATAGTTAGTATTAGGAATAAAGTACTGTGCCCCCTGGTTGTGCAAAGGAATTCTTTCACAATCATTCCTTTAGAAGAGTAATTAGTATCAATAATGTTCCTGAGATAACTTCTGCTTGGCACTAGTACTGCAGCACTCTGAGTACTTGAAGTGGCTTTTAGTTTAAGTAATCATAAAATGCTTTTATTATGGGTCCCTCCGTTCTGCCTATGTGACTTGGCAAATGGGTGAAGATTACCACCAGTTTTGCAACAGGGAAGTGCAGTGGATCATCATGTAAGGAAGAAGAAAATTCAATCTCCACTTCAGAAAGCCTTTTAAAATAGTCTGTAAGTTTGATTATTTATATTAACTGTTTTGTATCATTTCAGTTTCCTTAAAAACTGTTTAAGAACGAACAGACTGAAGTGGGGGATTAAAGTCTATATTCTTCTCTACATTTTGATTTCTTTCCTTTCAGTCTCTGCTTCCTCTTACCTCCCTAACCAGGTGCTGCTCCCTGCTGTGAAACTGAGCCTCACTGAACTGCCACAGCAGCATTTCAGAGGAGCTTGCTAAGACAACACTGGATACCTGCTATACCAACAAAGTGCTAACAGAGGCAGCCTTCCTTTTACTACACACAGTCCTTTATGATGCTGCTTAGTTTAAGAGTTATCTGAATTGGGTTGAGAACCATGTTTCATTAAAACTAATTCAGGCTGCTTAAGTACTGGCCATGTAGTGTGGGGTCAGGACAAAGCATGTTTAAGCCAAGTTTAAGAATGGTGTTTTAGCCTATATGCGGACTTGCCATGCCAATATTTCTGTATTCAGACTTAAGATAGCATTTAGAAAGATGGCTCTTACTTGGAAAGAGACACTCAAGTCCCAGAATAAAAATATCCACATAATATATGAATGTTCTAAAAACTGAAGGCACACGTAGCACATCTCTCAGATCTCAAGAGTAATTCTAAGAGCTAAAAAGAGTAGTGACTGTCATCAACTTTAGTTTCAGATAATACATGCCAAGGCTCATCACTGATTTTGGAAGCTACTTGCCTCTCTTAAAGCCAAATATCCTCCCCTTCCTCACTCCTGGGGTAGCCCAGAACTGTTTTTTCCAATCCATCATCCCAGTTCCCTCCAAAATAGGGGCAATGGAGTGAATGAAGTGCTACTACGACATGCTGCTTAACCTTGGCTAAAACAAGTTCAGTGATAGAGTCCCAAGCTGCCTTCTTGGCTAGCCTCCTTCCCCAGTCTACCTAGAAGATACATCCTACCTTGAAAGATGCAAAGCAAAATCTGCACACAAAAAAAGTGAGGTGGGCAGGGAGAAAGCAGCTTTTCAAATATTATTTAGTAGTCAATTTTAAAAGCAAGCAACCACTAGCTTATTTTATAGACATAATACGACCCCTATAGTAATATTTTAATTATTTGTTTTACTTACCTGATAGATTTTGGCATCTCTCATTAGTTTTTCTACAGGATATTCACTATTAAATCCATTTCCTCCAAAAATCTGGACTGCATCTGAAGCTAGTTGGTTTGCAATGTCACCAGCAAATGCCTTGGCAATAGATGCGAAGTAAGTATTTCTGCGACCCGCATCAATCTCCCAAGCAGCCCTTTGGCAAGCCAGTCTAGCTAGTTCCACTTTCATTGCCATTTCAGCCAGCATGAAGGACACTGCTTGGTGCTACGATTGTTAAAATAAAAGCAAGTTAATATTGCCTAGTTGGGATTCTACAGGGAATACAAAAGAAACAATGTAGCTTCTTTAATATTGTGGGCAGAGCAGCATATGGAATTAATTCTGTTCAGAGATATACTATGGGATGGCAGAATCTCACACCTATAGCTCGGGGCATAGTCTCAAGTAATTAAAAATTAAAACCTATTTAATTACAACATTTAGCTTTGAACTGCACCGTTTAGCTACATTATTAATGGGGTCTGTATCCTGCTTTACATCAAAAAGAAAAGTTGGTATCAAGTCTTCTCTTCCCTGCAGCTCCCTGCCCAATAAGTAAGGAAACTGAAGTATCTGGTTGATGTAATTCAGCCCCAGCACATTGCTTTCAAATGACCTATCACCATTTACCAATTCATTCTTTAAAAACATTTCTGGACTTAGTACCTGGTTAGCTTTATTTATGGTTTTATATGGAGTGCTCAACTCTACCTTCCCATTTGAAAAAGCAGAGTGAGGGCAGAAGGATACTGTAAAGTAGTCCTATGAAAATAGAATATCTTAACAGCACGTGCTACGAAACTGTGGCTTGTAACTTTTTGCTTAACTTACCTCTACAATTGGTTTTCCAAAGGTTTTTCTTTCCAAAGCATACCTAGTAGCTTCATCCAATGCTCTCTGTGCTAGCCCAACAGCACCTGCTGCTACCTGTATAGTTCAAATACAGTACATAGTAAAATCTGAATTCTCCACTTTTACCTTAGTTTTTTTTGTTTGTTTTTTAAAAAAGCACCTTATTTCTGCTACTTACTGGAGGTCTGGTTTTATCAAAAGCTCCCATAGCAATTTTAAAACCAACTCCCTCAGCACTTAGAACATTTTCTTTGGGCACTCTCACATCCTCAAAGACAATACCTCTTGTATCTGAGCAGCGCTGACCCATATTCATCTCCTGAAAAGGAAGTTTACAAAAGGTATAACTGTAACTGAATACTTCCATGGCATGATGTTTTCTAAATTTTGATTTACTTGAAAAGAAATTGAAACTGAAAACTTGGTTTAAAAAATCTAAGTTAAACACAGCAGATGCACCCAGAGAGCACTTAGACATGCATATTGGGTAACTCCACACGCAAATACCTATTTGCATTGCAATTAACCACTGCCCTTTGTTTTATAAACCATATTTTTAAACAAAAGACAGATTAGCTCTCTTGAGAGCAAAAATTTAAACAGCTTTGACATAACTGCATTTGGTGGTTTTAATCTTAAAGAGTTACTTCTAGTTGATAAATAAGCAACCAAAAACAATTTCTTTACTTATGCTAAAAACACTCAAGGAGTTTATTAAAACAATGATTTTTTATAAAAAAAAAAAAAAAATCAATCATTCTTTTACTTATGCTTTTTATTCCCTTTATTTTTCTAAGCACAATGAAAACTGCTAGTTTCACCTTTTGCTTACAGCCATTTTCTAAAGCAGTTTCACTTTTTGGTTTTCATGCACTAGCAACAAAACATTTTAGTGACAAGCTCTTTGAGAGAAATTATTCTTTCAGAAATAGATTCTACTGAAATGTTACAAAGTCAAAAATGTTTCTATTGAAGTTTGTTTTGTACAAGGTTGATTTAATTTTGAATTTATTTGAAAAAATACAAAAATATAAATTTCAGGTTTAAGTTGATATGACAGAGTCCCTTTGATCACTCCCAAGAAATAGAGCAACCAGTAAACAAGCATTTAGGATACTGCTCCACAATGTAAAACAACACATTTGATTGGTAACATGGCTCCACCTGCTGCATAGTGGTGCTGTTCAAGTGACAGAACAGCCATGGCTGGGAGTCAGGAAAGGAAAGGAAAGGAGACATATGTTCCTCTTCTAATTAAATGGACATTTCAAGTTGCCAAACAAGTTGGCAAAATGGTTTCAGGTACCACACTGGCCCATGAGTCATTCCCCTTCTCTCCCCCCTACCTCCATCTCCTTGACAATTTTTGTGGGTGTGTAATCACATTTTTCCTTTTCTTTCCTGCTGCTTTTTAAACACCCACCTTACCAAGAAAAAGAGACAGGCTCGCTATGCAGAGGATCCAATGAAACTGACTATACGTGAAGTTATGTCAAATACACAACAGTAAAATATAGAGGAAAAGTAGTTTTTCATTTTCAATAGTTAGGTGTTACTTGAAACAATAGGTAAAATCTTTTCAGACAGAACTCAAGGTGCGGGGTTTTGCAGATAAGCTGCTCCTTCCTTACTCCCACCAGTCATGCTTCCTTGCAGACACACACAGATCGGCAGTCAAAACAAAGAAAGTCCTCTGTTTGCAAGAAAAAGAGGTCTTAGCTGCAATTCTGATTTCACATATTTCTTATGTACAGTGGTGTAACTCCATGGTTATTTATAGAGTTCCACCAGTGTAAACAAGATCAAATCAGTTTTTTTTTTTTTTTTTTTTTTTTTAAAAACCATCCAGGTGACCAAGCCTCATGTTGACTTGAAATAAACCCATAATACTAATATGATAAATTAGTGGTGACTTACTAGGTCTATTTCAAACATCTTTAAAAATGAGTCAGAAAACAGAAATAGCAATGAGTACAAAAAAGTTTTCTTGTGCTAGGCACAGTTATGTTGTGTACCTAATATGTTAAAAAGCATTCAAGTAATAGTACTTTCTCCTTTAACATTACTGTTTTTGAGCTGAGCAGTGCAACTCCTAGTACCCCAGCTAGCACGCTTATAAATATCTATGCATATATACTCCACCTTTCTTCCAATTTGGATTCCAGGGCTGTCTGCTTCCACAATAAATCCAGTAAAGGCTTTGCTGGCAGGGGCTTTCAGATCAGGATTGGAACGAGCTAACAAAAAATACCTAGTGCAAACACATAGTAACTTGAGTGACTCAAACCTGTCTTCAGGATTAAGAGATAAACAGATACAAGTTTTTTTAAGATAGATACTGAGTACCATATAACATTAACCCTTTCAAGAGATTCTAAAAGGGAAGCATTAAGTTCTTTTCTTTTGGTAGATGACATGAACAATAGACAGCTGGCTTTAAATTGGAAATATTTCTACTGAGGCACTTCCAGTACACCCACCACTGTGGTATCTAAGTGCCAACAAAATTACACAGGACAAATAATGGATACAAAGGACCCTTTCCTCATAGTGTAATGTACATTTTTATTATATTAGTTACTATCTTTAGGAATGTTATGATAAAGCTATTGCAGAGATGAGTCATTTCATAGCAGATCAAGGATTAGGGGAGCAGGTGATTGTGTGAAAATCTTTAGAACTATCATATGATCCCATGGAGGGGATTAATTTTATTCTTCTATGTCTAAGTTGCAGCTCATTTCTAAAAGAAAAAAGCAACAAATGTGATAAGTCACCCTTGTAGTATTCTTTGATGACATAAGACAAATGCTAGGTGCTATTAAATGGTTCCTCAAAGATCTTGAGCCATTAAGTGGATTTCTCTGAAGCAGGTTGTACAGGATATTAACTAGGGCAGGATGAGAGAACTGTACTTTTTAAAAAAATGCTTTTTTCAGACTTCAAGGCAACAACATCTAGATTTGGGGATAGCTCGGAAAGTATTCTTTTTAAGACACCACACAAATGTAACTGCTTTTTATAACCATCTGTGTGGGAAGTGACAAGCGTCTTCTAGCCGTATATGTGGCTAGAAGAAAGAACTATGCTCAATGACCATGTATACAATCAAGGCAGAGTAATGAATAATAAGACAAGTTCTTTTGAGTACTGTGCAAGTAAGTCATCCTCTGTACTTTTCCTCCCTTTAAAAATAGATAGAATTGACTGGCTTTTAAATCATGCTGCTATCAAACACATTTTTCAGAAGTTTTGTTATCTGGTGGTTTCCTTAGTAGATCTTGTGGGGCACTCAAGTGTGTATTGTTAGCTGCAAAATTCTGTAGTGATATATTGATCACAGCTCAGAATATAATGTAATGAACATGAAGATTTAGAAGAGGGATCATAAAAGAGAGCCTAATACCTATTTTAGTATATCAGAGGAAGTTTTCTGTTATATATAAAACATGGTGAAGGGCTGAACACAAAGTAATTGAAACCATACAGCAGATTAATAAGCAGTTAATGTACCAGTTAGCTTTGCCACCATTGGTGATCCACATCTTTTGACCATTTATGACATATTCATCTCCTTTCTTCTCAGCTCTCGTTTTTATACCTGCCACATCAGAGCCTGCTCCAGGTTCTGTTACACAGTAGGCCTAAAAGAAAAAAAAAGAGAGAAAAAAAGCAAGGTATCAAGTAACAAATGTCACTTCATTTAATGAAGAGGACTGTATAGATTATCACACTGTGTAGGTACCAAACTATTACTTATAATGGTCTTGATTTTTTCATCTCACTCAATGTGTTTTCCACAAATGAATTAAAAGAAGCCTTACCAAAAAAAGTAGATAAAAAGCAAAAGTATGTTTAATAGGTTTAAACTTCCAGAGTGACTTACTAGATATTATGGAAAATTTTGACAAGGCATATCGTGCAGTTTACTTTTTGAAGTAATAGGAAAGTAGTAAGTGATGTGGGTAGCAACTCAATTTATTTTTATTTTTTAAGTCTCCCCTGTTATCTTTATATGCCTGATGCACCATAATGTAAAAACTGTTAATAATTCAATCTGTGTATAGTAATAGTGCTTTACTGGGGGATTGAATGGCTCTTAAAATTATCAGAATACAAACCACCTCACTTTTAAGCTGCTAATTTGAATCCAGCCCAGGCTGGTAATGACTGAAAGTTTATATTTGACGTTTAGGTGCCTACATTAAAAAAAATGGTGGTCTCAATCCAGTGATGTAAGCAATTGTGCACTAGTAAAAATGGCACCTTGCTGGCAGAAAACTCATGGATTAAAAAGGAATGGACTTTCCTCTCACCTCTAGGAAATGGTCCCCAAAGGATACACTTAAGTCACACTACTGATGGAACACAGGGAAGCTTGTAATGCAGTCTGTGTTACACCTTTACAGCAGAAAGAAATTTAGACTCTAATACCAGTATAATTTTGAATAGTGAAAGTTCCTTATTTGACACAGAAGAGTATACCAGTGTGTCAGAGAGTAGACCTTAGTCCAGTGTTTGTAATTCTTCTAATGAGTACAAAAAACACAATTGTATGAGTGTCACAGGGTTCAGGATGCAATCCAGAATAGCGAGGGGTTGAGTAACCGCCTGCCCTGAAATCCTGGGTGCCTCAAATGCTTTGCTACTATAACTCCAAGCCATGACATTCACGGTCAGCAACAACATGCAGGTCACGCCCTGAGTACCTATGTCTCTCTGCAGCTTTGGTCCTACAACTCTGACCCCAGCAGCCTGCCTGCAACACGCCAGTCACCCCACGTGACTTTCTACCAGCCTGGGTTAATACTTGCAGGGTGACTCCAACACACTCCCAACCCCAATTATTCCTCAAACTATGTGCTCTAATGTCCAGCCCTCTTTTGGACAGTTCAGAGAAATAATAATGTTTGTTTGTTCCTCTAAAGACACAAAAGCACATTACAGCTTATTAACTTAACTGGGGTAAATACACCTTTCCCTTTAAACACAGCACTGAATTGGTTTATAGTAAAAATAAAACAAATCTATTTACAATAGGACATAGGCTAACTGGTGCCAAGAAAAAGGAATAATGTTATAAAGTGTTACAAACAAATCAGAAAGTCTCAAACTTAAGCTAGCAAGGTACAGGATTTGTTCAAGATGGTTTCTCTCACCAGTCTTCCATTTTTCCAGCCGTGGCTGACTTCCTCTCAGTCAGGACCTTCCACAGAAGCACAAGGGGAAGCTAGCTTCCCCTTGTCTTCCTGGGTGAAAGAATCAGCTTTCTCACCTATATTCAATTCCCAGGGACTTCAACTCTACCTCCCTCCTTCATTTAAGGACGCATCTTTCTCAGCTTGCAAGAACTCTGTTCACTTGTGTCTGTCTAGTGATGGATGCCAAAGATGGCTTCTTTCTTTGCTTATACCTTTCCAAGTTCAATTACTTTGGTTCAAGAGGCAGAATGACCTCATGCTGTTTTTCCTTTCCTCTGGTCTTCCCATCCCCCTGTACGTAAATAGGGCTTCTGCTGTTTTGATTGAGCCATGCTTAATTTACATAGGAGACAAATAGCTGCCTTCTCTCCTGTCTGGAAGAAAGCCTGTTTCTCCCTATTTGGGCACAGACTTTAAAGCATAATATCATTATGTATCCCTATCTCCTCATATAGTGTTACATTTCACAATGATATTAATCACTAGTGTGTCATTAGCGTTCAGAGAAGACCTCCACTCTATACAATCTTATAATACAGTAGTATTGTATATTATCATTTGATTCACAATTGCTTATCATTTGAGGTTCAGCCCCCATCTTTATATACAAGTAAATACATTTGCAATGTATTTTTTGAAAAGTAAAACCAGACCAAGCTTCTCTCCTGTTGGGCATAGACGCCATGCTATCTCCTCCTGCATTTGGCTTGATAGCTTTGTTTACCAAACATGTACCTTCATTGTCTGCCTGAAGACCAGGCTGGCCAGAGAATCAAATACACATTGCTTTGTCTAAGGCAGTCTGTGCTTATGGATTATGTGCCAAACACATTTTAAGAATATAATTCTGGTGCATATTCAGAATTTTTTATACACATCCACTACATACATCATGCAAAAATGTTAATCATCGGTGAGTTATTTTCTAATGATAATTTACACGCCACCTTTTAGATACAGATATGACAATAGTCTGTTAGTTACAGTGAGTATGTCAGGCTTGACAAGGGCTGCTGACAGAGTGAAGCACTGTCAGGGTTCCCTCCCCGCTCCCAACTCTGAACTTTAGGGTACAGACGTGGGGACCCGCATGAAGACCCCCTAAATTTATTTTTACCAGTTTAGGTTAAAAACTCCCCTATTCCTTGAATTAAGTAACACTGCCACCACCAAGTGATTTAAACAAACATTTAGGGAGGGCCACTTGGAGCCCTACCTTCCCCAAATATCCCCCCAACCCCCTACACCCCTTTTCCTGGGCAGGCTTGAGAATAATCCCCCAAGCCCCTACATCCACTTTCCTGGGGAGGCTTGAGAATAATATCCTCACAAATTGGTACAGGTGAACATAGACCCAAACCCTTGGATCTTAAAACGATGAAAAATCAATCAGGTTCTTAAAAAAAGAATTTTAATTAAGAAAAGGTAAAAGAATTACCTCTGTAAAATTGGGATGGTAAGTACTTTACAGAATAACAAAAGACTCGAACATAGAGGATCTCCCCTCTAGGCAAAACCTTAAAGTTACAAATCCAGGGATAAACCTCCCTCTAGACAAGGAAAATCACAAGCCAAAATAAAAGCAAGCTAACGCATTTCCTTATTATTACTTACTAATTCTAACTGAGTTGGATTGCTTGCCTTCTTGATCTGTCTCCGGCAAGCGCACAGAACAGACAGACAAAGAACAGACAAAACAAAGCCTTTTCCCCCTCCCCAGATTTGAAAGTATCTTGTCCCCTTATTGGTCCTTTTGGTCAGGTGCCAGCTAGGTTACCTGAGCTTCTTAACCCTTTACAGGTAAAAGGATTTTGTACCTCTGGCCAGGAGGGATTTTATAGTACTGTAGACAGAAAGATGGTTACCCTTCCCTTTATATTTATGACAAGCACAAATGAGCCTCTGTGTCACAATGAGGCATGTCTTGGTTTAGCTGTTAAAGAAATGCTGTCTTTCCACCCTTCATGTATCGTAGTATCAGAAATAACACTGACTGAGATGGCATTCATACTTGCCAAAAAATTAACTGTTATGCTCTGACAATCAGTCTATCATTACAAATACACACAACAATGGGCTGTCAAGTATGTAATACATACATACATACATACGTACACACACACACACACCATAAACACATGGAAACATATTCCTCTCACGTTCCTCTCTCTACATGCAAACTTGAACTGTTTTTCCTAATAGATCCCATCAAGGACCTGGTGAAGCCCTTTACAAAGATGACTATTGATAAAGATCATCAGGAAAGTGGGGCTCACATATAAACTTTAGTTTTATCTTTCGGATACAGTCCAAAGCAAATCTTGATACACCTCTACCCCGATATAACGCTGTCCTCGGGAGCCAAAAAAAAATCTTACCACGTTATAGATGAAGCCGCATTATAGCTAACTTGCTTTGATCTGCCGGAGTGCGCAGCCCCCACCGGAGCACTGCTTTACCGCGTTATATCCGAATTCGTATTATATCGGGTCGCATTATATCGGGGTAGAGGTGTACTAAAGATACCACAACATTAGGGGTGCTCTATTCTATCTAGGATCTGACAGGGTGGAAGCTCACAATAAGCCACTGTGATGAAGAATAATAATAAATACATGTATTGCAAACTTAAAGCTAAATTACTTGGCCCACCAAAACTAAAATTTCCACATTTGAGATTAGGATATTGAAAAGCTACTTACTGATGCTGTCCTCTAAGTATTTAAAAAAAACCACCACCACACAGGGTCAAATGAGTCCAAGCAACTTAGTGACTAATTGGCTTACTATTCTGATAAAACTTCAATAATAGATAAGAACATAAGAATGGCCATACTTTGGGTCAGATCAAAGATTCATCTAGCCCAGTATTCTGTCTTCCGACAGTGGCCAATGCCAGGTGCCCCAGACTCAATGAACAGAACAGGTAATCATCAAGTGATCCATTCCCAGCTTCTGGCAAACAGAGGCTAGGACACCATCCCTGCCCATCCTGGCTAATAGCCATTTATGGACCTTGCCTCCATTAATTTATCTAGTTCTTTTTTGACCCCTGTTATAGTCTTATCCTTCTCAACATTCTCTGGCAAAGAATTCCACAGGTTGGCTGTGTGTTGTATGAAGAAATACTTCCTTTTGTTTGATTTTAAACCTGCTGCCTATTCATTTCATTTGGTGACCCCTGGTTCTTGTGTTATGAGAAGGAATAAATAACACTTCCTTATTTGCTTTCTCCACACCAGTCATGATTTTATAGACCTCTATCATATTCCCCCCCGCCCCCCCGTCTCTTTTCCAAGCTGAAAAGTCCTAGTTTTATTAATCTCTCCTCATATGGAAGCTGTTCCATACCCCTAATAAATTTTTGTTGCCCTTTTCTGAACCTTTTCCAATTCCAATTGGATCTTTTTTGAGACGGGGTGATCACTACTGCACGCAGTCTTTAAGACGTGGGCATACTATGGATTTATATAGAGGCAATATGATATTTTCTGTCTTCTTATCTATCCCTTTCTTAATGATGCCTAACATTCTGTTCGCTTTTTTGACTGCCACTGTACATGGAATGGATTTTTTCAGAGAACTATCCACAATGACTCCAAGATTTCTTTCTTGAGTGGTAACAGCTAATTTAGACCCAATCATTTTATATGTATAGTGGGGATTATGTTTTCCAATGTGCATTACTTTGCATTTATCAACATTGAATTTCATCTGCCATTTTGCTGTCCAGTCACCCAGTTTTGAGAGATCCTTTTGTAGCTCTTCGCAGTCTGCATGGGACTGAACTACCTTGAGTAGGTTTTTTTTGTTTGTTTTTAACATCTGCAAATTTTACCACCTCACTGTTTACTCCTTTTTCCAGAGCATTTATGAAAGTGTTGAATAGGACTGGGCCCAGTAAAGACCCTAGTGGACACCACTATTTACCTCTCTCCATTCTGAAAACTGACTATTTACTCCTACCCTTTGTTTCCTATCTTTTAACCAGTTAGCAATCCATGAGAGAACCTTCACTCTTGTCTCATGACTGCTTACTTTGCTTACGAGCCTTTGGTGAGGGACCTAGTCAAAGGCTTTCTGAAAATCTAAATATACTATATCCACTGGATCCTCCTTGTCCACATGCTTGTTGACCCCCTCAAAGAAGTCTAGTAGATTAGTGAGGCATGATTTCCCTTTTCAAAAACCATGTTAACTATTTCCCAACAAATTATGTTCATCTATGTGTCTGACAATTTTGTTCCTTACTATAGTTTCAACCAGTTTGCCCGGTACTGAAGTCAGGTTTACGGTCTGTAATTGCTGGGTTCACCTCTGGAGCCCTTTTTAAAAAACTGGCGTCACATTAGCTATCCTCCTGTCATTTGGTACAGAAGCTGGTTTAAATGATAGGTTACAAACTACAGTTAGTAGTCCTACACTTTCACATTTGAGTTCCTTCAGAATTCTTGGGTGAATACCATCTGGTCCTGGTGACTTATTACTGTTTAGTTTAGCAATTTATTCCAAAACCTCCTCTAATGACACCTCAATCTGGGACAGTTATTCATATCTGTCACCTAAAAAGAATGGCTCGGGTTTTGGAATCTCCCTCAGATCCTCAACTGTGAAGACTGATGCAAAGAATTAATTTAGTTTCTCCACAATGGCCTTATTGTCCTTGAGTGCTCCTTTAGCATCTCAATCGTCCAGTAGCCTCACTAGTTATTTAGCAGGCTTCCTGCTTCTGATGTTCGTAAAAAAATTTTGCTATTGTTTTTTGAGTCTTTGGCTAACTGTTCTTCAAATTTTTTTTTGCCTTCCTATTTATATTTTTACACTTCATTTTCCTCACTAAGATTTAACTTCCACTTTATAAAGGATGCCTTTTTTGTCTCTCACTGCTTCTTTTACTTTGTTGTTTAGCCACAGTGGCTCTCTTTGGTTCTCTTACTATGTTTTTTAATTTGGGGGATACATTTAAGTTGAGCCTCTATTATGGTGTCTTTAAAAAGTTTCCATGCAGCTTGCAAGGGTTTTACTTTTGGTGCTTTACCTTTTAATTTCTGTTTAACTAACCTCCTGGTTTTTGTGTAGTTCCCCTTTCTGAAATTAAATGCTACAGTGTTGGGCCGCTGTGGTATTTTCCTCGCCACAGGGATATTAAATTTAATTATATTATGGTCACTATTACCAAACGGTCCAGATATATTTATCAATCTAGTTTCTATACTTCAACTCTAATGTGATACGTGTGCATGACCCTTGTCCAGGGTCACACATTCTTTATGCCTTAATTTCCACATATGAGAGTGTGAAGTGCTTTGAAATCTGGAGCTAAAAATGCAAAGGAATGTTTTTTGTTTATCCTGTTCTTTTGTAATGCTCTATTTTTGGCTGCTTAGTTACGCAGCCTTTATTGAAGTAGACATCTGAATCTTCACCATATTCTAGATACAGCAGCTACTGAGAGTTTATAGTACTTCAGATTGTTTTTATGCCCTAAGGTGTTGGGCCATACTTTTAATTATTTTCTGAAATCTGCCTCTGATTACATAAATGTGATTTTTTTCGACCTCCCACCCACTATGCCTCTTCTTGAAAGAAAGTTAGATTTTGAGACAATTATGTTAGGATTCCTGGTTGACTGTACTCCAAATAACTTCTATTTGCTAACTGAATGTGTTCCACTTACTATCCCTGATCTTACAGTAAATTGTGATGTCTAGTTATATTTAAGTACCTATTTGGATTAAGTACATATCTCTTTACATTTTCTTCAAAAGAAAGCAAAATAAGATATCATGGACCATGAGCATTCTACAAAGTAGCAGCTACACTTACACACATCAATGGCTCCTCAGTCATTCTCCCCAAATATTTCTTCTGCTGTTGCTCATTTCCTGCAATGATGACTGGCATTTGCTACAAGAGAAGATTTATTCTTTTAAAATAGTGAACAGAATTCTATAAACTCTAGTCAAAAATAATAGAAAAATAAAACAACGTAAGACTTACTCCCAAGGAATTCGCTTCAATAGCAGTTTGGACCCCTGTACATCCATAAGCTAGTTCTTCTGTAATAAGGCAACTTTCAAAAGTGCCAAGGCCCAGTCCACCTACAGTTAAATAGTTTATTTACCAAAAATAGTTTACAGCCAAAACATGCAACAATTCTTTATACAGATAAATTCAAGGAAATATCAAAAACATATCCCCTTGGATATGTATGTATTTATCACATTTTATCCAAACAGTCAATTCCCCAGGCATGAGAATTTAGAGTTTTGTCAAATAAGTAAGACTATTTAAAAAAAATAAAATTTCATACTCCAGGGTTTCTGTGAGCGATCTGCTTGGCAAGCTACAAAGAACTGAGACAAAAGTATTTTTGTACGAACTTCTTGTTGTCAATACTCTTGGCTCTCCCCCCTCCATACTGGATCCTTTTGCCTCCAGATTCTAGCTGTTATCCAGCCAGCCGAGAATTTTCCTGGAGTATAAGAGTTCTGAGCTGAAAAGCTGGCAGTGTGGACTCCTACACCATCCTACTTCTGGCCCAAATTTAAGGCATGTGCTCCAAATAGTCTCCAATTGGCAAATGATCCCTCTGGAGTCAGCCCTTGGGCTGCTCTAACTTGTGCCAGAGCCTAGGCCAAGACAGACAGAGAAATTGGGGAGTAATAATCAGCTCCCTGACATTTCCCCTACTAAACCAAATAGATGCCAGCCATAGGAGAGAATCTGGCCCTAAATTGATAGGTCTCAATCTAACCTCCAGTTTCCACAGTCAGTCTGAGTAGTCCTTTAAAGCCTACAGAGGATAGTGTCTTTTTTGTGATTGCATGGCATTGTTACCAGACTTGAGGCCTGCAACAAAATTTTTTCTACAATGATCACTCTTGATTAATTCCATATCATATTTAGACATTGTAGTGAGATTCCTTCAAAAATACACTAGTTAAAAAAAAAAAAAAAAAATCACTGAAGTTAACTGTGTACCTTCTTCTAAATCACACTACAAAAGAAAATCTGCTAGGAAGAGATGAGGTCCTCCTGACATGGAAGGGGAACAACATCTCCTAGCGAGGAGAGCTTTAAACTATGTTCAAAAAGTGACAGGTGACCAAAGCCCATCGATAGGCCTAAAGAAGGCAATCATAAAAGAAGATTAGGTGTTGGGGGTGTGGCGGGACATGGAAAATTACAGTAAGGTCATAGGAGCGACAAGAGAATAATCAGTGGGGGAAACTGTTCAACATCTTAGATTTCTATACACAAATGCAAGGAGTTTATTCCCCAAACAGGAAGAAGTGGAAGAGAGTTGTACGTAAGCTAAATGATAACTAAATTGGCATCACAGAAACTTGGTGGGATAAGTCTCATGACTGGAATATTGGTAGAGAGAGGCATAGCTTGTTCAGAAAGGACAGGAAGGGAAAAAAGGGAGGAGGTGTTGCATTATACATCAAGAATATATATATATGCATGAGTTCTGAGGTCCAGGAAAAGGTAAGAGGCAGACCAGCTGAAAAAGTCTCTGGGTAAAGATAAAAGAGGGAAAAAAGGGTCATGGTAGGGGTCTATATAGGCCACCACATCAGGAAGAGGAGGTGGAGAAGACATTTCCAGAACAAACAAATATCCAAAAATGCAAGACTTACTAGTAATAAAGGACTTTAACTTCCCAGACACCTGTTGGGAAAGTAATACGGCAAAACACAATTTCCAGTAAGTCTTGGGATGTATTGGGGACAATTTTTTGCTCCAGAAAGTGAAGGAAGTAACCAAGAGGACAGCCATTTTAGACTTGATGGGGAATTGGTTGTGAATCTGAAGAGAGAAGGCAATTTGGGTGAAAGTGATCATGAAATAATAGATTTCCTGATTCTAAGGAAAGGAAGGAGCTAGAGCAGCCAAATAAATGACAATGGACTTCAACAAAGTAGACAAACTCAGGAAACTGATAGGTAAGGTCTCATGGGAAGAAAATGTAAGGGATAAAGGAGTTCAGGAGAGCTGGCAGTTTCTCAAGACAACAATATTAAAGGCACAACTGCAAACTATTCTGATGCAGAGGAAAGATAGAACCATATTGGCCTCTTAACTATTTTTCCTATCAGGGGCTGTTCAATTACCGGAAAATTGAAAAAGGAATCCTACCAGAAGTGGAAAGGATGAAAAGAGGAGTACAAAAGAACAGCACAAGTATGAAGGGACAAAATCAGAAAGACTAAGGCACAAAATAAGTTAAACATAGCAAGGGACCTAAAAGGTAATAAGAGGTTCCTTAAATACAGTAAAGTAAGAAGAAAAAAAAAAAGAAAAAGAAAAAAAAGCTTAAATCCTCTAATTAACAGGGAAGGAGAGCTAATAACTGATGACATCAAGAAGGCTAGGTGTTTAATGCCTATTTTGCTTCAGTCTTCACTAAAAATGGTCATACTTCAACACAATAAATATTAACAAGAAGGGTGAAGAAAAGCCAAAATAGGTGAAGAACAGGTTAAAGAATTTTTGAATAAATTAGAAGTATTCAAGTCCACAGGGCCTGATGAAATTCATCCTTGGGTACTTAAAGAACTAGCTGAAGCAATCTCGAACCCAGTAACAATTATCATCGAGAACTTGAGAGGACTGGAAAAGGGCAAACATAGCACCTATCTTTAAAAAGGAGACAAAGATGACCCGGGAAATTATAGACCCATCAGCCTAACTCCAAAACCTGGAAAGATACTGGAACAAATTATTAAACAATGAATTTGTAAGCACCTACAGGACAATAGGGTTATAAATAATAGCCTGCATGGATTTGTCAAGACCAAATCATGTCAAACCAACCTAATTTCGTCTTTGACAGGGTTACTGGCTTAGTGGATGAGGGGAAGCTGTAGACATAGTATCTCTTGATTTTAGTAAAGCTCTTGACACAGTTCCACAAGACATTTTCATAGGCTAACTAGGGAAATGTCGTCTAGATGAAATTACTATAAGGTGGTGCAAAACTGGAAAGACAGACTGTACTCAAAGAGTAGTTATCAAATGTTCGCTGTCAAACTGGGAGGACATATTTAGTGAAGTCCCACAGGGGTCAGTCCTGCATCTGATACTAGTCAATAATTTCTTTAATGACTTGAATAATGGAGTGATGGGGAGGGAATGATTACAAAATTTGCCAATGACACAAAACTAATAGAGGTTGGGAGCACTTTGGAGGACAGAATTAGAATTCAAAAGGACATTGAAAAATTGGTCTGAATCAACAGGATGAAATTCAATAAAGACAAGCAGAAAGTAATTAGGAAGGAAAATCAAATACGCAACTACAAAATGGGGAATACTTGGCTAGTTGATAGAACTGCTGAAAAGGATCGGGGGGGGGTACTAGCTGATCACAAATTGAACTGGAGTCAACAATGTGATGCAGCTGCGAAAAAGGCGATCATTATATTAAAAGGAATGTCGAATATAAGACATGGAAAGTAACTGCCCAGCTCAGTTACTTGGAGGGGGAGGGATAGCTCAGTGGTTTGAGCATTAGCCTGCTAAACCTAGGGTTGTGAGTTCAATCCTTGAGGGGGCCATTTAGGGATCTAGGGCAAAAATCTGCCTGGAGCCGGGTCCTGCTTTGAGCAGGGGATTGGACTCCTCCTGAGGTCCCTTCCAACCCTGATATTCTATGATTCAGTTTGCACTGGTGAGACCTAGGTTGGAGTACTGTACAAATTCTGGGTACCACACTAGGAAAGACACAGAAACTGGAGAGAGTCCAGAGTAGTGCAACAAAAATGATAAAAAGTTTAGAAACCCTGATTTATGATGAAATGTTAAGAAAACTGAACACATTTAGTCTGGAGAAAAAACCTGATAGTCTTCAAATTGTTACGGACTGCTATAAAGAAGACTGATCAACTGCTGTCCACTGAAAGTAGGACAGGAAGTAATGGGCTTAATTGGCAGTGAGGGAGAATTAGGTTAGATATTAGGAAAATCTTTCTAGCTATAAGGGTAGTTAAGCTCTTGAATAGGCTTCCAGAGGAGGTTGTGGAATCCCCATCACTAGAGGTTTTTAAAAACAGATTGGAGAAACACTTGTCAGGGATGTCCAAGTTTACTTGGTCCTGCTTCAGCATAGGAGGCTGGAGTTGATGACTTTTCAATGTCCCTTCCAGCTCTACATTCTGTGATTCTATGATAATACTGTATGTTTTTTCCAGTAGAAGCCCCCAGCCTCTAGTATGTTAGTGAATGCTGTTGTATTCATGTACTTTGACTTTTAATATCTAGGAATTTTTAATCATGCACTGAACAAGTCAGCCTGTCTATTGAATATACCTGTTATTGCTTTACGTCTTCAAATTCGGAGTAGTTTATTTAGTACCAACCACATAACGTTACCTTAATAAAAAAAAGGGGGGGGGGGTCCTCCGTAGCATTCTTCTTCATTTCTTTTATTTTATAAGCTTAAAAAAGCTGCTTACTCACCACAACTTTCTGGTATGTGTGAATTCATCAGACCAAGTTCCCATGCCCGTTTTATAAGGGGAACAGGATACTGAAAAGAAAGTATTTACACTCTCAGTCATTCAGTTAATTTCTCAGAACTGGAAAATGTGGAATATCCATACCTATTTTCCCACAAAAATATGGCAAGCCTACCTCTCCAGTTTTGTCATATTGTGCAGCAACAGGGATGATTTCCTCTCTAGCAAATTTACGAGCAGTAGCTTGAAACTCTCTCTGTTCATCACTGAGCTCTAGAAAACAAAACATTTTAGTCACAAATTCTACACTACAGTTAGTCTTACTGCTTGTTAGAACTACTGATCTACTTCAGTGTTCGCTCTAATTTTTCCCACCCATGTGCGGAATGAATTTTGTTATGTGCACCAATATGGAGGTGATGTGTAACACATCACCTCCATATTGGTGTACATAAAATTCATGTGATGGTGGTGGGGCCAAGGGGTTCAGAGTGTGGGAGGGAGCTCAGGGCTAGGGCTGAGGGTTGGAGGGCAGGGGTGTGAAGGCTCTGGCTGGGGGTGCGGGCTCTGGGGTGGGGCCGGGGATGAGGGATTTAGGGCTGGAGCAGAGGATTGGGTGCAGGGGTGTGAGGGCTCTGGGGTGGGGCCATGGATGAGGGGTTTGGGGTGCAGGCTGCCCCGGGGCTACAGCAGGGAGAGAAGACTCCCCACCAGCTGTCTCTCCCTGCAGCAGCACCTGGGCTGGGGGGGGAAAGAGGGGCCTCTCCCCGCCACGTCTGCTCCGGGGCTGAGGCTGCAGGATAGGTGCCCCTTCCCCGGACGTGCCTGGGGCCATGCCGCAGCAGAGTTGGGGCTGGCAGGTCCCCAGGCAGGTTCCCTGTGCTCCTGCACAGTACTAAATAGGCTGCTGTGCAGCTTGCAGGGAACTTAGATCTGCTCCCACCTGAAGCACGGGGGGAGGGAGGGGAGGAGGGAGAGAAAAGAAAAAACATCCTCAGTTGCCTCCTGGGGGCCAAAAAGGCTCAGCCTTCCCCTACCTAGGTGAAAAGTGGAGATTATGCTCTTAACAACATGTACAATGCACTTATTATTGATGATACTGCAGAACATTGAAAATGTCAATGTGGGTGTGAGGCTTCCCAGGGTTGTGAGGCACCTCATCACCACCTGCCCTTAGTGTGAGGAAATCTTGTCTGTGCCTACTGAGTCAGCTCCCTGATTCCATCAGCTTCTGGTAACACAAGCACTGCCTTCCAGGCCCACAGGCCTTGCACTCTCTGTACAAGTTACCGACAGGCACACACCAATCTTCAAGTCCTCTGCATGTCCTTCTGGAGTGCCTATCCCCTTATCCACTGAAAACTCTCAGAACTCCCAGATTCTCTACTTTCAAAGGAACAGTACACACCAAATTACTAGTTTCATGTCAAGATCACCACTCTGCTTAACACATGGCCCTTAGATATATTTACAGTAAAAACAAGAATAAGTTTAGTATCAAAGAACAGAGATTCAAATGAAAGCCAGTAAGAATATTGTAAACAAATGGTTACATACAAAACAAAATCCTAACATGCCTTCTGGAGCCTAAACTTAACTCACAGGACATACCTGTGTTTCCTACAGGATAGCATACCCCAAATTCTTTCCCCAGCATTTTCAAGTAGGATGGCTCAGACCAGTGGTCTCCAACCTTTTTACACACAAGATCACTTTTTGAATTTAAGTGCAACCCAGGATTTACTCCACCCCTTTCCCAAAGTCCTGCCCCGCTCACTCCATCCCCCCCTCCCTTAAATTGCTCGCTTTCCCCCACCCTCACTCACTTTCACCAGGCTGGGGCAGGAGGTTGGGGTTCTGGAGGGGGTACAAGCTCTGGGCTGGGGCCAAGGGGTTCAGAGTGTGAGAGGGGGTTCTGGGTTGTGGGGTGGGGCAGAGTGTCAGGGTGCAGCAGGGGGTATGGGGTGCTGGCTCTGGGAGGGGGCTCTGGGCTAGGGCAGGAGGTTCGGGGTGCAGGCTCCGGGAGGGAACTCAGGGCTGGGGGTTGGTGCAGGCTCCTGCTGGGCAGCACTACCCTCAGGCAGCTCCTGGTTGGCGGTGCAGTGGGGCTGAGGCAGGCTCCCTGCCTGCCCCGGCCTCACACTGCTCCCGGAAGGGGCCGACATGCCCCGGCCTGGCCCCCGGGGGTGGGGAACGTGGCTCCACGCATTGCCCCTCTCTGCAGGCACCATCCCCGCAGATCCGATTGGCCGCAGTTCCCCATTCCCAGCCAATGGGAGCTGCGGGGGTGGTGCTTGCAGGCAGGAGCAGCACGCGGAGACCCCTGCCCCCACCCCCCCATGGGGACATGCTGCACTGGCCGCTTCTGGGAGCGGCGTGGGGCAGGCAGGGAGCCTGCCTTAGCAGCAGCCCCGCTACACCACACGCCCGGACTTTTAGCAACCGGAGATCGTGATCAACTGGGAGAATCTCCAGGATTGACCAGTCGATCGCAATCGACCGGTTGGTGACCACTGACTTAGACCCTCCTTTTGTAAGATCAGCTTGTCTTCCCAGACTAAAGGATGAAATCTAATCTCCTTTCTACTTCTTTTATGCAGTTACAGAATATGGTCCTTTAGCCCAGAAGGTCCCCTGTTCAGAGGCTTATCTTGGGGTTACTTTGTCTTTGTAAATCTCGGGCCTGCATCTGGCCCAGACAGCAAACATAGCCTGTCTCCAAGTATGTCCATTGTTTTCTGTGCTGATTGAATTGGCCTGGAGGCATATAATACACAGTAGACAAGCAGAAAGATAAGTGTTTACTACCCACTTTCTGCCTAGAATCTGTTTATCGCCTTCCAGTGATCTGTCTTAACTTACATAATTTTCAATATACACACACAACTCCTTACGCATGATCTTCATACACATTTCATAATGGCTATGATGACCAGTGTGAAACATGCTTTCAGCAAAGATCTTACATTACTCCTTTTGGAGAACCCAGGGGATACCTATAATCCTATGTACTGTTGTGCCCTCTGTCAGTTGGCACCAAGAGGTTTCTGGGTCACAGTGGGGGAGACATTAAAAAAAAATTAGTTTATAATCAAAATGAATAATACAAGGAACACTGTACTGATTGGAATAGAGAAGGGGGATGAGGAATGTGAGGGCTTGGTGGATTCCTGCCCCCTAGTTCCAAGGTTCCTGACATATTGCACAGAATACAGGGCCTTGTCTTTAAGCAACAGTCTGCTACACAGAAGATACAGACGTTCCAGATGTCTTTTCTTTGGAGGTTGCTCAACCAACTACTAAATATTTATTGCAATTGCATCTACACAATCAAATCAAGTGCGTTAGTCCAAGTATCTTAAACATTTAATACCGGACAGAAAAGCATTGTGCAAGTCCACAAGGGGCAGGCTTACCAATGGATAAAGCCTACAAGTATGTGGCCTACATCTTCTAACTGACAATAGCAGCAAAGTGGGGAGTCACAAAGGAGCTACTTATAGTCATTAACAGCACATGTGATCACGCCACATCTGAAGCAATTGAACTTTACCCAAAGATGACATGGAAGGTCAAAACTTGGGGGTTGGAATGTTGGATCTCTCACGATATAGGCACTGGCTATGTTTGAAGCTTGTCCTTGCCACCTAGTATGTGCCCTGAGGGTGATATTGAGTTTCCTTAGAATTGTCCAAATGGGATGCCGTGGGCTAAGACATTGTTTCAAGGGATTAAACACATCTTTAAACAAGGGTAGATATGGCATGTCTTGCACCTTAAGGAGTAAATTCTGCAAGGCAACTTGTCAGCTGATGTCAGGAGGGGCGATGTTAGACAGAACCGGCAGCAAGGCCAGGATGGGCAGTCTCATAGTACCTGTTATTACACCTATGGTTTCATTCTGCTGAGTGCCTATTAGTCCTGTGTGAAAAGAGCTGAGCCATACTGGGAGCAATATCCTGCTACAGAATAGCTCAAGCAAACCCAGAATTTTTTAGTGGGGTATAATGCAGTTATGTTCTCATCATATACCCTGCTTTGGCAGGGGAAACCAAAGCTGCAACTATCAGGCCAAGTCTTTCAGATCCAGCCAGCATGGACCGTCAAGCTTCCTCAGCGAATCAAATACTGAACAGTCCCAGTTCAGCTTAATGTTAACAATGCAGCAGAAATCAGGTATTTTCAAAGCAGTACATCTCATACTCTTCCAAATATCTAGCTACCGCCTCTCCGACAACAACACTTCAATTATAATTATGTGCTCATATCAGGATGAACTCGTACACCTGCTAAATTATTTGAATTTATTATGTCACTAGACTACAATGTATCATAACCACTGGACAGGTAGTAAGTTGAAAAGTTAAGATGGTTATACTGTTACAGGAAGCCCTTGTGGAGCCACTTTCATCTCAAGTTAAAGGATGCCTCTATTTAAAGAGTTCATATAAACTTGATGTATGACATTTCAAAAGAGAGAAACTACGGGTCCAAAACATTGTCAGGACCAAGCCACTACTATATCTCTCTCATTACTAATGAAAACTACACATGAAAACAGATGAGAGAGAATCACACTTCTGTATGTGGTTACAAAAAGTGACCTGAGCAGACTTTTGAAAATCTAAATTGTTATAACTTAAATTACATCTAAACCATATTCTTTCAAATATAACAGTTTTCATGCTCCTTTAAGACTATTTGTATTTCAAAAGAAAGCCATTTGAGTTAGTTATTCAAGGGCAGAAAGATTCCACCACTGAAAAACTCCAAAAGAAGTTGAGTTTTGTTCTTTTTAAATCCAACTCTACATACATACACACACGGGTTTTCTGACCTGACCAAGAAAGGAATTTTGGCTCTTAAAAATATTTTTTAAAAGAAAGAGAATAATCAATGAAAATAGGGCTTTCGTATGAAAGTGTTTTCTCAACCTGAACTACAGCATCACCCTGCATTGCAATAATATGGAACACATTCCTGAGCTATTGCAGGACAGTTACTTTCTCCAGATTGTAACAAATTTTAGATATAAACTGCTTAGCAACATTGCTTCAGACCCACAGAGTACTTACCAAAACTAAAGCCAGCTCCAGGTTTAATTTGATGTGACACTTGAGCAGCTTGACTAGATTGTGATCTCCAGCCACATTGAGCAATGCTTTGAAGCACCTGTTTAAAATAAAGGAATATGAGATTTAACATGCTCACAATGCAAAGCTTCTTGGAGCCTTAAGAACTACTGGATTGGTTTAAATAACACATTAAAATTTAAATACAGACACACATTCATCTTTCTAAACAATACTGCATCAAGTGTTGCAAAATAATTACAAGTGTTTTTAAAAGTTTTGGCTATTTTAGGTCCTGATCCTGCAACGTGTAGCACATGGGCAGACTGCTTGTCTGCATGGAACCCAAGACTTCAGTGGGGCTGTGTGTAGGTCCAGCAGTCCAACTATGCACTACATGTTGCAGCACTGGGGCCTTGAAAAAGGAGAAGAACAAAAAGTGTAATATAAGCACAGATTTTTTTTCTCCTGTTTTAAATTAACCTTTTACATGTATTTACAACCTTAATGCCAGTTTAATAATATTCTGCCTAGAAATCAGCATTTGCCAGAATATATTGTTTGGAAAATCTCAATCTGAGAAATTCATGGAGCATACGTTATTTTCTGTTTGCTTTTTTGGTAAGGAACTACTACCCCAGATGGCTAGTGATCTATGGTCACTTTGCTCCAGAAGTTTGTGACTCAGCAGTAAATATGGAGTTTATTTTCCTCTCTAAAGTTGATCATTGACTTTTTCCATTCCATTTTTCTGCTGTGCTTCTTACGTTCTTTGCTTCCTAGGTGGTGGGAGGTATATTGTTTATTATAGCATAAGGCATGCTGTGAACAGAAGTACAGTGCTTAACCACCACAAGATTCCACCATGCAATTTCTGCTTAAGACTGATGAGATAGCGCCAACATTTCCTCAAAGAAGAAAAACACACAGATTTTTCAAGGGTTTTCTTTTTTGGGGGTGGGAGCCGGGGGTGAAGAGGGGAGAGCAACAGTGAACTGGATCAAATGAAGCACGCACAGTGAAAAGCAATTTGATAAGTCCAGCAAAGTAAGTATGAGCTGGTCCTCGATTTGGTAGTTTAGTGTTCAGACTGTGTGTAAAAGTCAACTGCATGAGACTTTTAAGAGCATACTTTGCAAACAATATTAAACCCACTGAACATTCCTTTGAGAATACAGTTACATATGTGTCATGAACATACAGCTACGGGTAGCATAAAATCCCTCCTTTACCGGTAAAAGGTTAAGAAGCTCAAATAATCTGGTTGGCACCTGACCAAAAGGACCAATAAGGGGAGAAGTTACTTTCAAATCTGTGGGGGAAGGTTTTTGCTTGGTGCTGTGTGTGTTGTTCTCTCTGAGACAAAGAGAGAGACCAAGTAAGTAATCCAGCTCCTACTGAAATACTATTTCTGTAATATTAGATGTAAGTAATAGCAAGGAAATGCGTTATATTTTCTTTTGGTTTAGCTTGTGAATTTTCCCTATGCTAAGAGTGAGGTTTATTCCTGGTTTTTTTTTTTTTTAACGTTAAAGTTTTGCCTAGAGGGGAATCCTCTGTGTTTTAAATCTTATTACCCTGTAAAATTACCTTCCATCCTGATTTTACAGAGGTGCTTCTTTTTTTCTTTGTAATAAAATTCTGTTTTTAAGAATCTGATTGGTTTTTAGTGTCCTAAAAACCCAAGGGTCTGGTCTGTGCTCACCTTGGTTACCTATTTGGTTGGTATATTATTCTCAAGCCTCCCCAGGAAAGGGGGTGAAGGGGCTTGGGTGGATATTTTGGGGAAACAGGAACTCCAAGTGGTCCTTTTCCTGAATCTTTGTCTAACTCACTTGGTGGTGGCAGCGATACCATCCCAGGGCAAGGAATTTGTGCCTTGGGGAAGTTTTTAACCTAAACTGGTGGAATTATAAGCTTAGGGGGTCTTTCATGCGGGTCCCCACATCTGTACCTCAGAGTTCAAAGTGGGGAGGGAATCTTGACAATATGGAACAATGAATTTGACCAAATGTAAGTTACTTTCAGCACAGCATTTCACCTTCCTAAGAGGTCCCTCCCTTTACTGATTTCTAAGATAAGCTGAACATAAGACATCATAGTGTTTCAATAAATGACATAGTAATGACAAGTCATCTTTAAAGACTATATAATCCCATAATTAGACACTTTCTTAGTAGCAAGGATTTTGTTTTGGCTAAAAGGTCCATCACTCTCTTGATAAGTATAGAAGATAACACATGATCTGTCAGATGCCTGGAAACAGCATAACAGACACATAGTATGCAGCATTAAAATGTTTGATTCATCAAACTAATGCAGAAAACACTACAATTACTTCATTGGAGACTATGGCAAACAATCGTCAAATCTCAGAAAGGAAGAAAGCAGATTGCTCGTTTGATGGCAGAAGAAACATGGTGGGACACAAAATTAGACTAGCAACCAGACTGAAGATACAAAATGAAGTTCCACTGGATCAAATTTTCTATAAAAACTGCCTCCCAAAAATTACAAGTTAAAATAGACGTGGTAGTTAGAGAGCAATTAAGAGGTATACACAAGGAAAAAATCCTGAGTTTTTTTTTTTTTAAAATAGATGGACAGTTTTGAAGGTAAGGAGATACAGGAAGACAACTTCAGATGGCAAGAGAAGAGAAGCAAGCTATAGTATACTTGAATGTTGCATAACCATCTTGAATTGGTAAGTAAGCAAGTTATTAATAGTTCCCTAATTCATTCCTCTGTAAGAAATTATTTGATTACTTATGTTATAAGTCCTCACTCTTTGAGTAGGAAGTTATGAATTCTTGGAGGCTTTATCTTTTGGATAGTGCGTTCAGTTAAAATGTGACAGTTTGTTACTTCACAAAGAAACATGGAAAATTTTATAGAAAAACAATACTGCCCTTATCCCTACCTTGAAGAGACGGGGATGAGGGGAGGGAAGTTATGTCTACTATGAATAAATGGTGTACTTCACTTTCTTATATTTCTGTCTATGGGCCAAATGACTGCTATGATTATTGATACAGCATACAGAACCATGCAAAATTGTCTAAAAATGTCTAAGTGACAGATCTGAAACACGTTAGGGACTTGGATCCTTCAAATTTTCTTGATTTCAATGTCACTGACTAGGTTCCTATTTTCAAGAAGGGGAAAAAAAGTGACGCGGGTAATTACAGGCCTGTTAGTTTAACATCTGTAGTATGCAAGGTCTTGGAAAAAATTTTGAAGGAGAAAGTAATTAAGGGCCTTGAGTTGAATGGTAATTGGGACAAATTACAACATGGGTTTACGAAAGGTAGATCATGCCAAACCAACCTGATCTCCTTCTTTGAGAAAGTAACAGACCTTCTAGATAAAGGGAATGCGGTGGATCTAATATACCTCGATTTTAGTAAAGCGTTTGATACGGTACCGCATGAGGAATTATTGGTTAAACTAGAAAAGATGGGGATCGATATGAAAATCCAGAGGTGGATAAAGAACTGGTTAAAGGGGAGACTGCAGCGGGTAGTACTGAAAGGGGAACTGTCAGGTTGGAGGGAGGTCACCAGTGGGGTTCCTCAAGATTCGGTTTTGGGTCCGATTTTATTTAATCTATTTATTACTGACCTCGGAACCGAATGTAGGAGTGGGCTGATAAAGTTTGCGGATGACACAAAGTTGGGAGGTATTGCTAATTCGGAGAAGGATCGGGATATTCTGCAGGGAGACTTAGATGACCTTGTAAATTGGAGTAATAATAATAGGATGAGATTTAATAGTGAGAAGTGTAAGGTGATGCATTTAGGGATGACTAACAAGAATTTTAGTTACAAGCTGGGGACGCATCGGTTAGAAGTGACGGAGGAGGAGAAGGACCTCGGAGTCCTGGTTGATCGCAGGATGACTATGAGCCGGCAATGTGACGCGGCTGTTAAAAAAGCTAATGCGATCTTGGGATGCATTAGGCGAGGTATTTCTAGTAGGGGCAAGGAGGTGCTCCTTCCGTTATACAAGGCGCTGGTGAGACCTCATTTGGAGTACTGTGTGCAGTTCTGGTCTCCTATGTTTAAAAAGGATGAATTCAAACTGGAACAGGTACAGAGAAGGGCCACTAGGATGATCCGAGGAATGGAAAACCTATCCTATGAAAGGAGACTCGAGGAGCTCGGTTTGTTTAGCCTAACCAAAAGAAGGCTGAGGGGGGATATGATTGCTCTCTTTAAATATATCAAAGGGATAAACACCAGGGAGGGAGAGGAATTATTTCAGCTCAGTACTAATGTGGACACGAGAACGAATGGATATAAACTGGCCGTGGGGAAGTTTAGGCTTGAAATTAGACGAAGGTTTCTAACCGTCAGAGGGGTGAAATTTTGGAACAGCCTTCCGAGGGAAACGGTGGGGGCGAAAGACCTCTCTGGCTTCAAGATTAGGCTAGATAAGTTTATGGAGGGAATGGTTTAATGGGATAACGTGATTTTAGTCAATTAGGTAATAAAGTGCCATCGCTGGTAAAATGTGGGTCTGGTTAGAGAATCTTGCCTGTATGCTCGGGGTTCTACTGATCGCCATATTTGGGGTCGGGAAGGAATTTTCCTCAGGGTAGATTGGCAGAGGCCCTGGAGGTTTTTCGCCTTCCTCCGCAGCATTGGGCAGGGGTCGCAAGCTGGAGGATTCTCTGCGACTTGAAGTCTTTAAATCACGATCTGGAGACTTCAACAGCTGAGTCAAGGGAAAGTGGGTGGGTCAGCTTTTGTGGCCTGCATCATGCGGGAGGTCAGACTAGATGACCATAATGGTCCCTTCTGACCTTTAAGTCTATGAGTCTATGAGACGGTATACTTTATTATATCAGGACAGCTGTTTTTGGAAAGGCTTTTTCTAATTTTCATCTTGCCAAAAGTTTGTAACCATTTCTTTTGGATGCAGCCCTTGCGGCAGTCACTCATGCCTTTGGGAATCTAATGGCTTTGTTTAGGCTAGGAAAAGGGATTGACTTTGGGTTGGGCTTAGCTCTTACCTAGGCTATAACTCAACCTGCTAAAATCATGCTAAACACACTACCCTGCATCTACACAAGGAAAAGCAGTCAACTTTAGTTTAGATTTACCAAAACTATCTTAGCTAAGCCCACC